CCCTACAGAGTTTCTGTATGTCTGTGGGCTGGTTAAACATGGCTCAAGCAAGCTGCTAGGCATGGCCCCACTTGTCCCCTGCCCGCAGTGACGAAGGCGCCTGGGCTCTGTGGACCTGCTAGCGCATCCCTGCTTCCCAGGGATGAGATGGCACCAGGCGATGCCACTTCAATGCCAGACCCCGCTGACAAGCAGCCGAGCATCCTGGCTCTGCAAAGTGTGGGGTGATGCTCTGCTGGCCCTTCGTGGGTGGGTACCCACAGCCCAAAGCCATTAGTGCTAACTGGGGCCTCAGCAAAGATGCTGATACTTTACCAGGGAGATTGGTGGGGGAGGTGGTCTCTCCAGGGCAGCCAAAGCAAGACTGCTGGCGATGGGAAACAGGGACCTGGTGGTGGCTGGGAAAATTGAGGCTTGGGGGGCTTGAGGGATGAGCACCAGGACTCAGCTAAAAACTGCCTCTGCGGCCCCTTGGCGTGGGCTGGGGCAGCCACACAGGGCCAGGTCCTCGTGGAGGGAAGCCCAAAGCGCGGGCAGGCTTTCTGCAGCTTTCTGTCCATCAGCCACCCAGCGCCGGCAGGAGGGTGTTTGGGAGCTGTGTGGGCAGAGGGATCCCTGCCTACAGCCCCTCCCTGTGCAGGCAGCTTCTGCTGGCTGTGGAAGGGTTGTGATGCCCAGCCTGGCTTTGGGGACTCCCTTTGCCAAAGGGGTTTCTCTGGGTTGGGCAGGGAGATGGCATTGTCCGGACATGGGTGTGACGACAGCAGGGCCAGTGCCGGCCCCAAGGCAGCGGGATTCCCAGCCAAGAGCAGGACGCATCTTCCAGCTTGGCTCAGCCCCCATCCCATCTACCTTCCACTTTTAAATCCTGCTAAATACCAGCCGGCTTCCCCAGCTCACCCGCAGCGGAGGGCACCAGGAGGGACCCAAGCAGCCCCTGCGGCAGAGCCGTGCCCTGCACAAGGTGGGGACGGCGGCTGTCACCGGGGGCTGCCCAGTACTGCCTGTGTTTATAAAGAAGTGAGAGTCACAAATAGTTTTGTGCTGACTTTTAGAGGAGAGGTTTGCCTCCGCGCTGGCTCGGATGGCCGACAGCGGCTCTGACGCATCCCACACCGCCCTGCCCAGCTCCCACTGGTGCTGGCTGCCGGACGGCTTGTAAAACCCCGGAGGAGACGTACAGCCCGCGGGCTTCGAGGCCTGGCAGAGGAATTACACAGCAAACCGCTCCCTTTGCAGGGATGGGAGCTC